GAAGCAGCTGTATCTGCCGACTCCGTGTGGGGGCCCCCCACCCACAGAGCTTAGAGCCACCCACGGCCCAGATGCTCACTTCCTTCACCCATCTCCCGCCCACCGGTGACCACCATAGTCCATACCAAGGCCGGGGCTTAGTTTTGTTCTGGTTTTTCCCATCTTGCTAGCTTTAGTCATTCATGTCCCACACAAGAGTGACCCGTCCAGCCATTGTCGCTTGCCCGCTGAATGAGTGTAGTGGCCGGGGTTGGAGAGCCATGCCCGGGCGTCTGTCTCACATTAGTCTTCTAGCCTTTTCTATCATCTTTCTGGGTCATCATCTCGTGGTAACCTGGGGGGTCCCCTGATGCATTTGGGGCCCATCACCATCCCCCTGGTCAGCCGATGACGAAGGAAGGAACAAGGGCCCCAGGCCAGTTGGTACTCAGTGGCCCTTTATTCAAGCCTCACAGTGTTATAGATAAACCATGAAGGGTTATGGGCAGCATTGTACATAGGCATGGCTGAACCTTATCATAAACAATGACAGACAGAGTAAAGCCCTTTCTTCAGGGGACGTTCTTCTGTGAGACCCACCCAAGGACAGAATCTTATCTAAGTGCTCAGCACTCTAAATTCCTACCATGAGACATGCCCAGGGCTGGAATTCCATCTAAGGGCATATTGCTTTCTCCTTTCCTTTGCTAGTAATCCATTTAAACAGTCATCTTAAATTTACTTCGTAATAATATTTCTAGTCATTTTGTATGGACATGGTGAGAAATATATTAAGCTGAAATGTTGGCTCTTCCTAGGGACATCTCACTATAGATCCCAGACTACAGTCCTCAGGCCAGGTTCTGTCACTGTCCCTGTCCTCCCGTCATTCATCGATTTGCTTGAGTGGGCCCAGTAACATTGGGGGGCAAGTTGCTGTGTTTGGCATATCGAATACGTCACAGAGAGCTTGCCAGGCTTTGCCGTGCAGGCGAGATACTCTTGGTAGCTTGCTGGGCTCTCCGAGAGGGGCGGAGGAATCGAACTCAGGTCGGCCATGTCTGCTGCATGCAAGACAAACTACCTGCTGTGCTGTCGCTCCTACCCAGTTTTTCCTAACCCCAACAGAGTCCTTATTCAGTTAGTTCTTCTTGGGTCATGCCAGCATTTGTTCCATGACTGTGCTCTTAACTTACTATACTTCTTATGGCACTTAGCCTGCTCCTTCTCAATGCCAGGGAGCTTACTGCTTTCCCTGGGTCCATCAAGTCCCTTGGTGGAACCTGCCTTTTGGGTCACTTGATCACTTGATCACTTGACATCCCATTACTCATTGATTTGTTCGAGTGGGCACCAGTAACGTCTCCATTTGTCCCTGACACGTGCTAGTGTAGCCCAGTGGCATCTGCCTGTTCTAGGAGCACAAAGAACCTCAAACTAATCGTTCAGGGTCTTAATGAAGAAGTCTGACCATCTCGTAGTGGGTGGCCATGCGGTCTTTTGATGTCCCATGGAATCCAGTCTGTAACGGCTCTAGTCCAGCGGTCCTCTCCAAATCTCATTACGTGTCCAGCCCATCTGATTTTTGATGCCTTGGCAAACGAGACAGCGGCCCATCTGATTTTTGATGCCTTGGCAAACGAGACAGCGTCCCTGATTCTTGACCGTTAATGGAGGTCGGAACTCCGGATTCTTTCTCTCATTTGAGTGAAACGTGATACTCCAAGCGTAGCTCTTTCGATTCCTCTTTGGGAGACCAAATAGCATTCTCATTCGTTTTCCGTAGGGCCCAGGTCTCTGAGGCGTATGTTAATGCAGGAAGAACATTGGAATCGAAGAGATGTGCTCAGAGCCGGAGGTTCTTCTTCATCTTAACTATTTCTTCAATGCTTTTGAAGGCGTTCCAAGCTGCTCTCTTCCTCCTGTGCAACTCAGGTGCCAGGTCATTCATCATGTTGACTTCTCGACCTAGGTACACATAACTGTTGCATTTGGAGATGGTCGTTCCATTGAGAGCGAATGGGGCGTCAGAAACGAGGCTGTTTCTCATAAACATTGTCTTCGTGAGATTCAGCTGTAGTCCGACCTTTCCACACTCACGGTCGAAGTCGGCCAGCATTTGTGCCGCTTGGCCAATGTTTGGTGTTATTAGAACGATGTCATCAACAAAGTGGAGGTGGTGTTTCTTATAAGTTTCTTATACTTTTTTTTCTTGTACTTTTGCGTATAAGAAACTTAGCGCAACTGAGACTTAAGTCAAGTAAATATTGATGCCCAGGGGTAAATATTATCCAGAGACAACTCCCGTGTTACAAAAGCATAGCACTAGCTGTCTTCCTGTGTCTATACTAAAAGGACATTTCCCTAAAATAAACTCTGCAAAGTACATAAAGAGAAAAGCAATATTTCACTTACATATGCAAAATCCAGGGCCCTCAGAAGATTTTACTTTACAGGTCACAGGGTCTGATTTAGAGATATTTGTGATTAACAAATAGGGAAAAAAGAGCAAAGGAGAGGTTAAAGATAAACAGTGGATTGGGAGTGTCCGGTAGACTAGGGTGGGCCTGGGAGCACTTTGGTGGGTGTAACTCAGTAAACCTAAGCTCCCTGTGGGAGCTTAGGTATGGGCGGGGAGAAAAATGCTATTTTTCAAGCAAGGGTAGGCTATTTAAGGTTCTTTCACTTTTTTTTCAATTTTATTGAATCACCATGAGATAGTTATTACAAGCTTTCACATTTGGGTTACAATCACACAATGATCAAACACCCATCCCTCCACAAGTGCACATTCCCCACCACCAGTATCCCCGGTATACCCCCCCTTTCCCACCCTCCCCCTACCCCCATGGCAGACAATATTCCCCATAGTCTCTCTCTACTTTGGGGCATTATGGACATTACAGACATAGCTGGAAGCCTGCCTCATGAGTAAAGGGGAGAAGGCAGCTGGAATACAGAAGGGATCACTAAGAAAATGATGGCTGGAGGAACTGGTCGGGATAGGAGATGTGTGCTGAAAGTAGATGAAGGACCAAACATTCCCCCCCCCCCCCCCCCCCCCCCCCCCCCCCGTGAATGGAGTTTGATACCAACCTTAGCAATCTGTCTTTCCTCTGAGTAAACGAGAGCACAGCCTTGGGCTTTGTGGTTTTATTTATTTATTTATTTTCTTGTGGGTGTTTCGGGACTCACAACTCTGCTTCCTCCTGGCTCTGCCCTCAAGTGTCACTCCTGGTGGGTCCCTGGGGGACCATGTGTGGTTCCGCATTGGACACACCTTCCCTGCTGTCCCCTCTGTCCTGCCCTGCCCTGGCTTGTAGGTGCTCTGGAATCACTGCATTGTCCAGGTAGAAGCCAGTGTGATCTCCCTGTTTCTCCAGGACACAGGGTGGACAGTGGCAGCTGAGAACTGCAGGTCCCAAGTCAAAACGCCTGGAAGCAGAAAATAACTGCTCAGCAAAGTGCACCTTGAGTGAATTGACTTAATTATCTGGAGACTCTTCCTCTCAGGATTGCGAGCTCCGGGAGGGAGAGACGATATCTCCACCTGCCATGGCATAGCACCCAGCCCAGGAGGTACTGGGAATTTCCCAGTCAGTGAGCAAATGAGTGTTTCAGGATGAATGCAGTAAGCCTGTCCTCCAGTCCCCCACAAGAGGCTCTCAGAGATGAATTCACAGTCGTTTGTAGCTTTGCAGATTTCATTAAAACAAACAAACAAGCAGACGTCAGCCTCACAGCTCACCCTGTGCAGAGTTACAACCCGCAGGAGCGGAGTGTTTAGCCCTGCTGGCCATTCTCGTCTGCCCTGTCCTCCCCTGCGTCCCTGCTGTCCCTGCCTGTCTGTGCAGCCACCAGGAGCCAGCTCAGCCGTTGTCGCGGGCCTGGGCCTTTGCCCGGCGGGCAGCGGCCCGCTCTCCCTTCTCACGCTCGCGCGTTTGACTCGTCAAGACCGGAGCCGCCTGCCCTCGCTCTCGCAGAGTCTCAGTTACGACTGGGTTGAGCACTGGAGGAGCATCCGTGCTAGCCTGCTGGGGGTGTCGGTGACACTCGGAGCTGTTGCTTGGAGATTGCTAATGCAAACATGGCGTCACGGTGAAAGGAAGAATTCTTTTCTGCCTGCCTTCATCCCCTCCCCTATTTTGTTAATGATGTATCTTGGAGCCTTGCAACATTTTGGGTGAGAAGCGTTATTTCAAACATATTCTTAACAGCCCTTTGAGTCTGGCTCTTCGGAAAATAACTGCTCCCATCCATGTGTTCCAGCAGCCTTCAGATGCAGCTGGAGCTTGGGGAGGGTTATGGCTTCCTGCAAGAGCCCAAAACACTGAACTGCCATTGAAGAGGGCCCCCGCAGACCCCCACTGCACCCCTCTACGTAAATAGCAGCAGACCCTGATTTGGTGCTGAAATAACAGGAAGCTGAAGGCACACTGGGTGGGCCGGTCTGGGAGCCAGGACTCCCATTTCCATGAAGAGCTGCTCCTGGACCATTTCGAATGATTGACTCATTCAGCTCTGCACAGGGGCCAGAGAAAAAATATGCATCCCGTCCCTGGAGGCTAAGTATCCAGGTTGGAAATCAACTTATAGCACTTTGAAAATGGTCGCAGAAACAAGCATTTTGGGCAGTGCCAGAGAATCACAAAGGGCCTGTGTATGAGGCCTGATGCCTGGATAACCTTGTGCACAAAGCGAAGGTTCAGATGTGCAGAGTTGCACACAGAGGCACACGAGATGCCAGTGGGCGACGTGGCCCTTCCCTCTCCTGCCGGGGCTGCTCTCGCCTCTGTCTGTTCCCAGCAAGGTGCCCGGAGGAGCAGCTCTTGACAGAACCCACCTTCCAGGCGCTCAGCAGAAACTGCGTTTCACGCCCTCCATGAATCCACCCAAGTTGTTCCTTCGTCAAACTCTTCCATTGACTTAAGGACTTTGATGGCATAACATGCCTGTGGGAGCGCCATAGGTGCTTCGCTGAATGTTCACAGATTCTAATATATTTTTTTTTTATTTTAAAGGGTGTGTTGAGGATCAATCCTAAGAAGTTCCATGAAGCCTTCATTCCTTCGCCGGTAAGTTCAGTAACGTTATAATAAACTTAATGCCACATTTAATTTGGTAGATGTGCTCTGAAGCTGAAATCATAGATTCTATGTAAAGAGCAGCGTCATGAAACAAAATCGAGGCCAGGCAAGGATTTGTTTCAAGTTTAAATAAACAGGCTTTGCCTTTGGTTAACGAACTTCTGCCGGCCTGAGTATTGATCGCTCTTGGGGCGGAAGGGGAGCCATTCGCTCCTGGGTTATGGGAGCAGCCGGGCCGTGTAGACACCACCGCCCGTGTAACTATGTGAGCAGCCGGGCCTGTGTAGACGCAACTGCCCATGTAACTATGCAAGCTGCTGGGCCCGTGTAGATACCACTTCTGTAATTGGATGCTCTGGGTTTATGGCTCAGAAGGATTTATGGATTTTTCCACCAATTTAAGTTAATCTTTCCTAAACAAATATGCTATTTACTTTCGATTTACTGCATGAGCTAATCTGCAGATTTGTCCAGAAATGTGGTTTTTAAATTTATTTATTTATTTATTTATTTTTGTCGGCTGGAGTTTCTTCACTTTTATGCAGGTGATAGGATTTGCTTCGTACAAGGCTTTTCACCATTGCGTCTCTATGCCCTTTCTTACGTCCCTGGCTCATTCTAAAGGGCTTTGCCCAGTCAAAAGTTCACTCTGACACCGAGAGCAGCAGGCCTCTGGGTGAGGCTTGATTGTGCAAAGGTGCATGAGCAATATTCAAATATTCATGTTCCTGGCAAGGTTTTTCCAGGCCACAGCGAATAGGAGGGCTGTAAATTATAGATTGTTTATAGCAGGAAAGGCCATAGGAATAAAAGGCACCTGTAGATGCAGAAATGAAATCATATACTTTGCTTGATATGTTTCATGATGTTAAGTGACAGGTTTAGGGAGGATTTGGAGTTCAGCCTTGTATGTCATAGGCCTTACGGGTTTTGTTACAATAACCCCGAGACCTGTTCTCAAGGTCACTTCGTTCTTCACCCCTCCCCTTGCCTCCTGGAAGTTACGGATTCATATTTCTGTCTGAAGTTCACATCTTACCCATTCAGCCCGTGTAACTGTGTGAGCAGTTTCCCATTCAGCCAAGCATCCCACTGATATTTCTATTGCTCTTGGAGAACAGGTTCTGTTCCCTGACCCTGGGTTATAGAACTGAGATCAGTTTTGAGGTAGTAATTCAGCTGTAGGAGAGCTGTACACTGAGCACTGTGTACATGGGCGTTAGACTCCAGAGCCTGCTCACGGGGTGAAACACGTTCCGTGATCACTTACCAGGAAACACCCTTGGACGGTCTGACTTAGTCACCAGAGCCAGGCCTTTCTCTGCGTTAGAAGGAATGACCATTTCTTCCCTGAAGACAGTGGAGGGAATTCAGTTCCCTCAGGACCCCGGGTGCATGCAGGCAGGGATCCGAGCCTGAGAATCTTTCCCAGAGGGTCCGGCATCCTTCCCAAAGAGGCCCCGGGAACTGGCAGCTTTGAGCACATTGGTGTGACCCTCTGAGAGGATGGGAAGGGAATCTATACACAGGAAACGAGAACTGCTTACTGTTTGCTTGGTCTCTTCTTGGATACACAGTGTTAACTTTACTAAGATCCCGCAGGCCGATTCCTGACAGATTCAGGGCTTCAGGCAAAAGTGCAGAGGCACACCGGCCCTGTTTTAAGTATTTAAAAGTCATAAACCCAGCTGGCACGCTTAAATATACTCACACAGATGAAGCATATTCCGTGCTAAGTTACAGCTCGTGTCCCCGGATTCAAATGTAGACTTCTCACACGTGGGGTTCTGTGCCGAACTGCGGCTCTCTGGAAAGGGTCTGCTCTGTCCCCCATCCTTCCTCCCCGTCCTGGTTTCCTGTTCTGTCCCTGCTGCCTTCCCATGCAGCGAGGGCTCTTGCGTGCACTCCTGTGGGCATCTTAAAACCCGTATCCGATGGACATGGAGAGTAGCATGCTGAGTGAAATGAGTCAGAAGCAGAGGGACAGCTATGGAATGGCTGCATTCATTTGTGGTATGCAATATATATCACAATGTCACGGTCATCCTGTTGTTCGTCGATTTCCTCGAGCAGGCACCAGTAACGTCTCCTTCTTCCTAGCCCTGAGATTTTAAAAGAGCCATTTCAATGCTCTTTCAGGATTAGGAGAATGAGACCCATCGTTCTGTATATATATATTAGAAGACGAATATCATGGGGCCAGGGAAAATAGGGGTGAGGAGGACTGGTCAGTGGTTGGATCTAAGCATGAGAGTGTGTGAGGCTGAGGGTAGGTAAGATAGAGAAGGGACCAGTAGGACAGTAATAGCTGGGAATGATCATGCTGGACAGGAACTGAGTATTAAAAGTAGCTCAAGGGAGATTCCTGATAACCTGGGGATGGGGGGTGGAGGGTGATGGGAGGGAATTGGGAACACTGGCACTGGGAAATGTACACCGATAGAGGGACGGGTGTCAGAGCACTGTATGGCTGATACCAATCATGAACAGCTTTGTACGGGTCTATCTCGCCGTGATTCAATAAAAGAAGTTAAAAAAAGAAACAAAACAAACACACCGTATCTGAGCTCTGTCCGTATCCCTGAGAAATCTCCCTTGCTGTGGGACGGCTGTGACCTGGGAATTTCCCTGCTGCCCTGGAGTGTTCGTGGGGCTGTTTCTCTGTTCAATTCCCCCCCCCCCCCCCCCCCCAGCACTGCCAGCTCTTGCCCTGACCCGGAAAGCTAAATTTGTGTCACTTTGTTGTTTTTGTTTTTGAGCCATGCCTGGCAGTGGTGAAAGCTTCTCCTGGCTCTGTGCTCAGGGTGGCTCCTCGGGGGAGCTTGGGCCGGGGCGTGTGTTTGATCTCACTCCTTAAAGGAAGACGCAAAAGATATCGATGTTTTAAGTGCTGGCTTTCCAAGCTTGTTTGCTAGCACTTTCTTTAAGATTAAAAACAAAGAAAAGAAAACTTTTTCTTCTCTCTTAGCCTCTGCCAAGGAGCACGGTATGCAAAGGTTTGGAAGGATAAAAGAATGAGTACATGTTTGCCCGTTTCTTCCTAAGACTCTTGGAAATGCTGATTTTTTTTTCCAGGCAGCCTTGCTGCCTGACGTGTACTTTTCTCCCCCTCGAAGCTGAATTCTCAAAGCCAAAGAGTTTGGCTTCCTGCGAGATCTCTGGCGCCTAGTAACGGTTGGTCTCCAGTGGCCGGGAAGGTCACGGGCCCGCAGTGCTCAGAGTGGGTAGTTTGAAGCCTGTGACGGGGGCTGAGCTTTCCCGGGTCCTCTCTGTTGTGGGCAGTCAGCGCCCCCCTGCCCCGTCACTGAGCCGAAGGACACTCTGTGAGTCTCGTCACGGCTTTCTCCTCTGACACCTGCCAAGGTCGCCCTAGAGCGTCATGTGGGTTTGCTCCCGCTGGGACAAACTAGCGGGAAAAGGTGTCACCGTGTTTTACCTTATCGAAAATGAGACAGGATAATGGAAGGAAAGCTTAATTGTTTCTCATTCCAATCAGGAAAGCACATCATCCTTTATTCTTTGCTTTAAGTGTTCGGGTTTTTATTTCTTTTTAATGTGCTAAGTGGCGCTCGCTTGTTAACTTGCCCCCCACCTTGGGCGCGCTGGCCCCTGCATCCAGTCAGAGGTACACAGGCCCTGTTTTAAGGATATAAAATATGTATCTGCTCCTTTGAGAGGCCCCCGCTCCCAGCGGAGCTGCCGCGCTTGGCGCCAGGCTTCCTGTGCAGTCACATTGTCACAATTTTATTTATTTTTTTATTTTTTATTTTTATTTTTTGCTTTTTGGGTCACACCCGGCAATGCACAGGGGTTCCTCCTGGCTGTGCACTCAGGAGTTACTACTGGAAGTGCTCGGGGGACCCTATGAGATGCTGGGAATCGAACCCGGGTCGGCCACATGCAAGGCAAACGCCCTACCCGCTGTGCTATCTCTCCAGCCCCACATTTTCACAGTTTTAAACCAAGGAAGTCGTTACTGGTTCCGGATCCTGGTAAGCTGATTTCAGTTTCTCTCTCCGACCCAGGACGGCGACCGAGACATTTTCATCGATGGGGTTGTCGCTCGCAACCGGGCCCTGAACGGGGACGTGGTGGTGGTGAAGCTGCTTGCTGAGGAGCAGACCAAGGTGAGTCAGAGGTCTCTTCTTCACGCGGCAGCCCTTCAGGGGGCGCCAGGAGGGAGCAGGAGCTGCAGCCACCAGGGGCCGTGGGACCCCGTGGGTCCCGAGTGCTTGGGGCAGTGTGGTGGCCGCACGGCTGACAGTCTCAGTGTGCTCTGGTTCCTTCCTGTTCGCCTTCCCTGCCGCACGCCTTCTCTTGGTTTCTGTTCACATCTAGCGTGGGATCAGGTGCCGTCGAGGTGGGCAGGTTTCCCTCAGCAAACTTCAGACTCTGTCCTGTAACCCACAGCTCCCTGGCAAGGGCAGCGCCTCAGTGCCCGAGTGTCCTGGATTTCAGTTTCCATCTCTCCTAGCAGGTCCAAGGGAAGATGCAGTTTTGGTTTTGACGTTTTAAATGAGGGTACAGCCCTGTGATGGTTTACAGTCAGCAGTTTCTTTCAGCTGCAGAACTGGTAGCCTGTGTGTTTAAGTCTGGATTTTCCTCTTAGTCTTTCTTCCTGTCTTATTGGTCTCAGCTCATTGTCATCGTCCCCCATGGGGCGAGTCTTGCGCCAACTACCAAAACAAGAAAAAAACACAAGAGGAGGCTACCACAGACCAATAACATTTCGCAAACAAAGTTCCAAACAAAAATATTAGCACATAGAACCCAATAGCATGTTAAAATGATGAAACAGCATGAACAAGTCGGGCTTATCCCAGGAATGCAAGGTCGGTTTAACATTTGAAAAGCAATTTTATGTCATTCAGCCTAGGAGCTGACTAAACAACATTGCATTGCCTTCAAACAAGAGAGGTGGAATAGACTTTTGATAAAAGAGCCCATTCTTGATAAAAGCTCAGAGCAAATTAGGAATAGAAAAAGACTCTCAATTTGTTGGAGAACGTCTAGGGGTTACTTATAACTACATCATTCTTGGTGGGGAAGGCTGAATACTCCGTGTTGAAAACGAGGCAAGAATATTCCCCTCATGGCCAGAAAACAGCTCTGTGGCAGGGTGCATTGCCATGCATCTATGTGGCCTGGCCTCCATTCCTGGCACTAAAAACAAACAAAAATACAGTGTCCTCTCTCAGATATTTTGTGATTGAACGTTGTACTAGAAGTTTTAGCCAGCATGAGAAAACAATAGAGAAGATTCAGATTGGAAAGGAGGAAATAAAACTGTTTATTCTCAGATGGTATAGTTTCTACATTTGAGTCTGAAGGAATCTAGAAAACAAAAACTCTGGCACTAATAAATAAGCTTAGCAAGGTTGCAGAATAGCAGGCTGATATGTAGAAATCCATTGTACTTCTAAATATTAGCAATGGAATAGAGAAATTAAACTCAAAAGTGCCAATTAAGAAACTAGAAAAGAAGTAGTTTGGACTAGCCAATTTTTTAGCCAGATTTTTGTAAATTCTTATTTTGGGGTAGACTCTCTTTTAATAATGAAGGGGCAAGCCAAAGATTTGGAGATAATATTTGCAAAATACGTTTCTGGCTAAAGCCTTTACTTAAAGGCTTTATAAAAAGAACTCTTGCCCATCAGTGATAATCACACGGCCAAATAATAAAAAACTGTTTCTGGATTTGAACAGTGACTAATTACCACATTGGGGTGCAGCCACCCTGTTGTTAGGAAATTTCAGAAATGAAGAGTGCCCGTTGCTGCCCGAGCCCGCGGGGTGGTGGAGTCGGGGTGGAAACCCCGTGTGGGTGAGGAAACGGCGGTGGCCGAGGAACATCCAGCAGGTGCTTTGGGGAACAGCTGGGCAGTGACTTCAACAGTGGCTCGTGTAGCTGACGTGTGACCGGCGTTCATTCCCGGATATTAAGTCGAGAGAAATGTGTGCATTTGCCCTCATGAATATTCACACATAAATGCCCATCGCGGCCTTTTTGGTAGTAACTCCAGGCTGCAGGGACTCCCGTGGTTGTTAGCGTGTGAGCGGGTAGAGCAGGTTGGCGCCTTCCTCCTGCAGGAGACAGCTCTGTGGGGAAGAAGAGGAAAATCAACCGGCTGTTGTTTCAAGCAGCAGCGCGAATGTATCTCAGAACCGTTATCGTGGATGAGAGAGGCTCGTCGCGACATGGACTAGACTATGTCTCATTCCGTTTATGGAAAGTTCTAGAAAATGCAGATCCTGGGGCTGGAGCTGAGAGATGGAGCCCCCAAAGGGCCTTGAGGAAACTCTCAGTTGTATTTGTATGCTAAGATCAGTGCTGGGCGGAGTGAGACCATAGCCGACACTGGCCTTGCATTTTGGCCAGCCCAGGTTCGATCCCTGGCATCCCAGATGGTCCTCCAGCAGCTCTAGGAATGTCCCTGAACGCAGAGCCAGAATTAACCCCTGAGACCTGCTGCGACACACACACACACACACACACACACAGTCAATTGCAATTGTACACTTTCAATATCTGATCTATTAGATGTCAGTGCTGCCTCAATAAAACTGTAAAAAGCATAACAAAACGAAGAAAGCAGGTTTTTGGGCAAAGGAGTCTGTTCCGGGAGCCAGTGAAGTGGGCAGGAGGCGCAGGAGCAGCTGGGACTGGAGGGGTCTGAGGAGGCGCCGTGCAGCTCGAGGCCTGGCCCCTGCTCCGTGGCGCTGAGAGTCACCTGGTCTGGCCGAGTGCAAAGGTTGATGCTGCCTGAGGGACCGGCCGGAGGTGCAGGGGAACAGGTCTTGGCAAACCCTGGCTCTCGAGCTTGTGTCGCCTGCTCTGACCTTGGATGCATCTTCCGTTCCAGCTGTGGTGAGACAGTGGGCCGGTCTGTCTGTGTCCACTGCATTCCGCCCCGTGGCGAGGGAGGAGGATCTGTTCGTGAAACCTGCACCCAGGATCAGGAGCTGGAAGCCTCATCCCAGGAGGCTGTGGTTCTCCTGTTCCTCCTCTCTGCTTCCTGCCTCCCAGTTAGGGGAGGCAGGTCTTGGTGTTTCTCCTCTTCAGTGTCTGACTCTGAGTTTCTGCCAACCACGGGAGGTGGGGGAGAAGGGGGGCGGCCCGAGTGGGCCTCTTTCTGTCCCAGAGGGACAGCTGAGGCCTCGGGTGCCGGGCCAGTTGAGGGGAGTTTCTTACCGGTGCCAGAGGCAGGGGCACTGGTGGGAGACCCAGGCCGCAGTGGGGTGGACTGCCCTGACGTTTGTAGGCGCTTGGATAGAGCGAAGAAGAGGGTTAGGGAAAGACCGTCCAGCAAGACGTGAGGGCAGCTGCTTCTGCAGGGAAGAGCCGTGTGGCAGCTCTGCGCGGACATGACCCGTGGGCTCACGCTGGCGCTCAGCCCACAGGTCCCTCCGTCACAGCGTGGGGTCACATCCCCATGATCTCAGCCCTGCCCCAAAGGCTGCTGCCTTCACAGAGGAGGCGGGCAAAGCGCCCAGCCTAGGAAACTGGGCTCTCCTTGGAAGGGAGAGAGCTGGGTGGTAGCAGTCACAGCCGCGCCCCACGTCCCGTATGTGAATAGATTCCAGCGCCTTCCCTTGCTTCCTGACACCCGCTGGACCCCAAGACAGGCCTGCAGTTGGACCTACAGCTCGAGCAACTGGTAGGGGAAAGAGTCGGAGAACAAGATGTTTGTGTGGGTGTTGGAGGGGCGCTCGGCTGGCGTGCAAGGCTGGACACTGAACTGAGTCTGTGCATCGGCTGCGTGCTCTGGCCCTCAGGTCATCTCCCTGGCCTGGGGGAGGGGGTGGGCAGGAGAGCGGTGGGAGGGGCTGCCTCGGCCCCGGCCACTCGATTGGAGTCTGCAGAGAATCTCTGTGGCCCACCTGCCGCGGTGGCCGGGGGCCAGGGTCGAGTCAGGGAGAAGCAGATACGCAGAGGGTTATCCAGAGTCTCTGCCATGCGGACTCTCACCACCCCCAAGCATACTAGGCGATTGTGTCACAGGCCTGTGAGTACAAAAGCAGATTGTGTCCAGAGGAGTCCGCGGCCGCTGTGTGCGCGGATGGGAGCGCGCGGGATTATTCATCTCTGCTGCTTTCCGCTGGTTGTGCTCGCCCCTCTTGGGCCTGTGAACTACGGGGCCTTTGGGTCTTCGGGAAAAACAACAGTTCTTTTAGCTGTCGTGGTAAATAGTCAATTTATTTCACAGCATGGCTGTTTTCCCCTCCAACAGATAGCTGTGAAAGTCTCAAGCTGTGAGGCAGTAATAAAAGATAATTTGCTCTTATGTAACACTTTTCATTTCGAATTCCGCCACATTTTTATTACTGACAGCTAATGAAGGAGAGTTGCAGGGCAATGAGCCGCTCTTCACTTCATTAACTGGGAAATGGAGGTCTCGGGGGAGGGGCTTGTTTGGGAACTTGATGTCTGGGCAGAGCTGGGCGGTAGGATTTAGGGCTCTTGATTTTTAGCTTAATGCTTTTCTGTACGTTAAAAAAATTTTTTTCCTTTTTTTTTTTTTAAACGAGTGCTGGGGGCTCGGGGCGGGTTATATTTCTAGGCAGGTGGTCTCTGGCTTTCCTCAGATTTTCCAAGGGTCTCTGTGCCCCGATGCTTGGCAGTCATGATGCTGGAGTTTCTGTCTGGGGCAGGCTCCACCGTCCCGTGGCTGCCGGAGGCTCGAGGCACAGCCTGGAACAGGCCACGGTCTCTGCTCTTAAGGAATGGCCGAGAGGGGAGCCACGGGACCGAGCGCAGTGAGGTTTGCGGGGCACAGGGTGGAATAAGCGTTATGGGGAGAACTGGGTCAGCTCAGCGAGGCGGCCGGAGAGGCGGGAGTTATTTTGGTGGTAGGGTGAGAGTGATTGGCAGGGGAGGAACTGAAGAGGGAGCTTAAAGGGTAGATGCTCCCTTCTCACCTCAGGGAATGCTGTGGGGGGCAGCCACCTCTCCCCTCCCCCGCCCTCCCCTCCTCTTCAGCCCTAGCCCAAGGAAGCTTCTGCCTTTCCCCGGGATTCCACCACTGACGACCAACCCCCTTGACCTCTTTTTATTTGTTTGTTTGGTTTGGGGTGCTCAGGGCTTCCGGGCTTACTCCTGGCTCTGCACTCGCAAAGTTCCTGGCAG